CGTAGGCGATGTTAAAAACATTGTATGCTTAAAAGCATAGTATATCCACAGCTTTAATATTTAATTTTGTATTGTTTTTTTATCCAGCAAATCCCTTTTTAAAACGTTTAAAATTATATTATACGTTTCACAGCAGCCAACAATTAATTCCGCAATGACACGCGATACAAAAAATATGATGAAATATTAAACTGCCGGTAATTGAGTATATTGTACGAAAATATTCGTATGTTGTACGAATTTAAAAAACATGTTTCTGCATTAGTACTTTATACGAACGTATTAACTAAATTGTACGAATACAGAGATGTAGATTTCGTAAATTTTAAAACCATACGCAAATATTACGAATGCCTTCCTACAATATACAAAATTATTCGTACAGAGATTTGTTCAGTGCTTTACGAATGTGTTTTGTAAAATAAACGTAAGATTTCGTAAATTGTACTGAAAAACTGCCTTACGAAAGTCCTTTCGTTATATTTACGTATGGTTCGTAAAATCTCTTTTCGTTGTGAAAAATGTGTTTGTATTATGAACGAAAGTTTCGTACATTGTACAAAAACCAACACTACGAAAGATTTTCGTAGCACTTTCACGAAATTTTATTTTCAGTGTACATTTGTACAGAGCCAAAGGGAACATTTTCTATGCAGATCTTCCGCTGTATCGNGGTATAAAATATGAAAGAATATAAAAAATACTGGTTTTACTTTCTTAAACATTATAATATTTTTATGTAGAGGCACTTGACAGGTTCCTAGCTTCATCGATGTTTGTTTACTTGACGACTATAAATTAAAGGAAAATTATAAGGCGTCTGAAAAGCAAGTTTCAGTGAAAAGTCATACATGTACTTACATTTAATTAAATTAAGTGGTGCTCCTGGCTTAGGCTTGCCGTTGATAGGCAACTGATGAAATTGCCTATTTATCAAGTCCCACATTGCAGCGCAAGGCGCAGCGTAGACGATGTTAAAAACATTGTATGCTTAAAAGCATAGTATATCGACAGCTTTAATATTTAATTTTGTATTGTTTTTTTTTTATCCAGCAAATCCCTTTCTAAAACGTTGAAAATTATATTATAGGTTTCACAGCAGCCAATGACACGCGATACAAAAATTATGACGAATTTAAAAAACATGTTTCTGCATTAGTACTTTATACAAAAGTATTTAGTAAATTGTACGAATACAGAATTGTAGATTTCGTAAATCNCTTTTCGTTGTGAAAAATGTGTTTGTATTATGAACGAAAGTTTCGTACATTGTACAAAAACCAACACTACGAAAGATTTTCGTAGCACTTTTACGAAATTTTATTTTCAGTGTACCTATAAATATATATACGTTCGAGTCTAACGCATACTATACGCTATACATCTATATATATATATAAGGCCGTCTGAACAAAGTTTTTAAATCCCTTTTCAATGAAACATAGACCGATTTGAAGGATATAACTTCGTCAAATCCAGAAANATTTTATTTTCAGTGTACATTTGTACAGAGCCAAAGGGAACATTTTCTATGCAGATCTTCCGCTGTATCGCTGCCTACATGCACACCGACGTAGCAATGCTTTGAACGATATGAAACACAAGTAATTTTTAGCAGAAAAAAAACGACTTAAAAAAATGTATATATATCTATATATTTCATGATTCAATGATCGGATCTAAACCAAATTAGTATCGAAATCGGTTGACGTGGTCCAAAGTTATGCGGTAACATACATAAAAAAAAA